GAGTCATTCAGCATGATAAATGAGCTGTTACGATTTTCTCACATATTTGTTAAATCACATCGTGTGCCTTGATGAATTTAATTTGTTATTTGCGATTCATAGAATGAAATATTCATGATTTGTTTTAAAAAGGAGTATTTTTACTTGAACTTGAACTCATTTAGGAAAGTGAGGTATGCAAAATGGAACATATCCAAGCCAGTGTGCGAGGCTAAGAGTAAACATTCTTTTATATGTATTTTGATAGAAATGTGATTACTGGTCATTGTCATGAAAAATGAACACTCTCAACATAGTAAAAACATGTCAAAGATTATAATTTGTGATTATTTCTCTAAATATTATATATGATACTTCACCTTCTGACTTGTTATTGTATTCATGATCGAGTATTCTTATTTGTTACTGGAGTCCTTCTGGAGCCCTACTAAAGTTCTAATGGGACCCTACTAGAGTCCTTCTGGAGCCCTACTAAAGTTCTAATGGGACCCTACTGGAGTCCTTCTGGAGCTGTACTAAAGTTCTAATGGGACCCTACTAGAGTCCTTCTGGAGCCCTACTAAAGTTCTAATGGGACCCTACTGAGTCCTTCTGGAGCCCTACTAAAGTTCTAATGGGACCCCTACTAGAGTCCTTCTGGAGCTGTACTAAAGTTCTAATGGGACCCTACTGGAGTCCTTCTGGAGCTGTACTAAAGTTCTAATGGGACCCTACTAGAGTCCTTCTGGAGCCCTACTAAAGTTCTAATGGGACCCTACTGAGTCCTTCTGGAGCCCTACTAAAGTTCTAATGGGACCCTACTGGAGTCCTTCTGGAGCCCTACTAAAGTTCTAATGGGACCCTACTGGAGTCCTTCTGGAGCCCTACTAAAGTTCTAATGGGACCCTACTAGAGTCCTTCTGGAGCCCCACTACTAAAGTTCTAATGGGACCCTACTACTGGAGAGTCCTTCTGGGAGCCCTACTAAAGTTCTAATGGGACCCTACTAGAGTCCTTCTGGAGCCCTACTAAAGTTCTAATGGGACCCTACTGGAGTCCTTCTGGAGCCCTACTAAAGTTCTAATGGGACCCTACTAGAGTCCTTCTGGAGCCCTACTAAAGTTCTAATGGGACCCTACTAGAGTCCTTCTGGAGCCCTACTAAAGTTCTAATGGGACCCTACTGGAGTCCTGGTTTAGCCCTACTGGAGTATTGAAAGCCTACTAGAGTCCATCTGGGACCCTACTAGAATCCTTATGGAGTCCTACTAGAGTCCTTTTAAAGCCCTACTGGAGTCCTAAGTCTGGGACCTTACTGAAGTCCTTCTGGAACCCTACTAGAGTCCTTACGTAGCCCTACTGGAGTCCTTACGTAGCCCTACTAGAGTCCTTCTGTAGCCCTACTAGAGTCCCTACGTAGCCCTGCTAGAGTCCTTACGTAGCCCTGCTAGAGTCCTTGCGTAGCCCCTGCTAGAGTCCTTTTACAGTGTAGCCCCTGCTAGAGTCCTTACATAGCCCTACTAGAGTCCTTAGGCCTTATGTAGCCCCTGCTAGAGTCCTTAAGTGAGCCCTGCTAGAGTCCTTAGTCCCTCCTAGAGTCTTACCTGCTAGAGTCCTTCAGCCCTGCTAGAGTCCTTACGTAGCCCTGCTAGAGTCCTTACGTAGCCCTCCTAGAGCCCCACGTAGCCCTCCTCCCTAGAGCCCTCCTAGAGTCCTTACGTAGCCCTACTAGAGAGTCCTTACGTAGCCCTGCTAGAGTCCTTACGTAGCCCTGCTAGAGTCCTTACGTAGCCCTGCTAGAGTGCTTATGGAAGTTTACTAGAGTCCTTCAGGAGCAGTACAAGAGTCCTTCTAGTGCCCTATTAGAGTTCTTTTAGAGCCCTATTAGAGTTCTTTTAGAGCCCTATTAGAGATCTTTTAGAGCCCTATTAGAGTTCTTTTAGAGCCCTATTAGAGTTCTTTTAGAGCCCTATTAGAGTCCTTATTGAACCCAACTAGAGTCCTTATGGGACCCTATTAGAGCCCTTATACAACCCTACTTAAATCCTTATGCAACCCTACTTGACTCCTTATGGGACCCTACTGGAGTCCTAAGTATGCCAGCCTCAAGGAGCTAAGTGCCTGTTGGGAATGATTTTGCCACCACACGATAAATTAGGTCATTTCTTTCACAGATACACGCCATCAGTGTGGCATCCAAGGTTTATGACCTGGCCATTACTGCGTCACTCTCAAAGTGTTCACACAAGACTCACAATAAATTATTGATGAACCAATTATAAGAGTGATCAATAGTCTCTCTTGTATTATGTCAACCCTTGCTGCTGACATGTGTGGCAGTTTATGGCCACAACATGTTACACTTGATTACCTATTGAGGAGGTCCTTTGTCCACCTATGTACACTGAAGTACCCCATCCCATGGATGAATGACCCACACCCACACCACTACCACGTGGTTCTGGACAAATAATTAACAAAACTATTTCAAATACGTTTTTGAAACAAACTACAAGTAGTTGTCATAATTAAAAAGAAAATATACTTTTGTTTGTTTTCTAATTACTGCTAACGAAATGGGATTATTTTAACAATTAAATGTGTGTTTTTCTATAGCATGTCAAAATTTTCACAAAGAATTTGTTCCGCTCACTCCAGTTTATGTATGCTCAAAAGAATAGGGATTTATCTAGATCTGCTCAGAAGCCAATATTCAGTGCCAAGTCACCAGTAAATGTCCAAAATCTGACATACAAAATATGTAAGAGGAATTTCTTTAAGAATTACAGTTATTTAATAATTTGAGCTTGAAAAAGTATTGGTCTAATTGTTTTTTCAAATTTGGAAAACCGCTTCTTTGTTTAAGGGAGAGTTGCAGTGCAAAGACTGGTTCCTATTTTCCCATCAATTTACGTATTTTGAACTTAAAAAGGCCCACAAGGAAAATTATTTAGCCAATAATATTTGAATCAATTGTTGTCAAATTTAGAGATGACCCTCTGTATAAATAGGAGGGGTACAGTGCAAACTGTTATTTTGATATTTTTAATTTATCAAGAATTATCACAAATTACATCTCTTGAACTCGAGAAGAAGATGAATGTGTTCATCTTTACAATCATTTAATGGATTGTTTTTACCTTTGGTTAATGGCTTCTTTGCTTATAGGAAAGGTGCGGTGCAAAGTTTGACACAGATGTTGCAATCTTGTCAGAAATAATTAATAATATTATTAATTGATGTTGACTGAAGTTTGGAGTCACCGTTGGGGTTAATTTGTGAGCCTGGCTCACATTTTTGGGCTTGTTGTCCCTGAGATGCCTGCTAGATTAGAATCTTGGATAAATCTCTGAAATAGCTCGTGTCAGGGGATGTGACAAGCTGTCTTACCCTTCATAGGAGCAAGGCTGAAGTTAACACTGAGAAGAAATATTCTAACATGATCTGTGGGAACGTGATCCATAATAAGAATATATAGATTGCACAGGGACACCTATAACTGGATATAGTCCACACTTGTATACACTTATCTTACCTTCATGTAGACCGCCTCCATGGTGTAGTGGTTAGAGCGTCCGCCCGAGAGAGGAAGGTCGCGGGTTCGATCCCCGACCGCGTCATACCAAAAAACGTTAAAATATGGTACTTGTTGGTCCCTGCCTGGCGCTAGGCATTAATGGGTACAACAAGGACTGGTCGGCTCGGAGTCAGTATAATGTGTCTGAGTGGGGTATTCATGCTTCACTGCGACATGGTATCTCAGTGGGCTAGCACTATAAAACCAGCTTCAGTCTGGGCTAGTAAAGGCAGCCGCTCAACATACACATACACACGCATGCAAGTCGTCCAAGTTTCCATGTCACCCCTCCCAGGCACTCACGAATAAAAAGAAGTTGTTATCCATAAAGTTTGTTCTATATTGTACTTCCCAACTTCTAAAATGCCACTCAAAGAAGTTATGTATAGTGTAGTTTGCAAAACGTTCGATTAGCTGTTTGTGAGTTCACTATATGTACACACTTATTTAACTGCTTTATTTAAGTTATATTATACATTGAATTGTTTGCAAACCGAACCTAAACAGAATTGACCAGTTTTATAGCAGCTTTAAGTTTGTCAGAATGTGTTTCACTGATTTTATAAATCCTGTCGAGAGGCAGACGCCAGACACCATTTTGTTTACATGTCATATAGTCGGTAGGGAGCTTATCGATCTTCAAACTAAAATGATATTTTGTACATTTGACATGGTGGTAAGATAAATATCTTGTATGCTTCTCCCTCGGGTAATACAGTCTGATGTACACCTTTTTGTAGCAGTGTTATCCCTCGTCTACCAGCTCGGGTGACACTGCTACAAAGAGCCGTACATCAGACTGTATTACCCTCGAGAGAAGCCTACAACTTATATTATATACCACATATAACTGGTGCCCGTTTAGCTGCGCTTGGTCTGTTTCTCTGTCGTGTAAAGTGGGAAGAATACACTACAGTAGTGTTGGGAATTGGTTAAAATCAAATAATTGATGATTGGTCCATTACAACCAATCAATCATTGAAAATAATTGGTTAGCATCATTTATCAAATGTTCCTGTTATTTGTGTTAATGCACACAAAAATAAAGAAAAAACATGTAGTAATTTGGGGGTTTTTTTGCAATTGCATAAAGTCCATTTGCAAATTTTGCATATTTAAATGATGATTAGTATGTTAGGAACACATATTTCCTGGATTCTTTAAGATAAATTCAATCATGACTTGGAACGAGCTTGTACATGTAGTGCTTATGAAATGTAACTTTAATGACACAGACAAAACCAGCCTTGTGAAAAATATTGTTAATGCAAACAAGTGTTCAAAGATTGGTCGTGTTCGATTATGAGAAAACATGTTCGATTGCTTGGTCGTTTAGTCACTGCGACCAATCTTCGATTATTTCAATTAATCTGAACACCACTACACTACAGTGAATGAATGTTAATTTGATATTAAAATATATATTTTAAATTATTTGTTTTTAGGTTTAACTCTCTATGGGTTAGCCATCAGTGGCGGGATGGGAGTACTTCCATTTGAGTTTACTCTGGTGCAAGTCTTCATCTTCACAGCTCTCATTGTGGCAGTGGACCCAGTTGCAGTAAGTTGACCACGCTTATCTCCTAGTAAGGATTCCAGTTCAGAATAGGTCTCACAACTCCATGATTGTCTCTCCTTAGTGTTTTCTTGGTCAGAAAAGGTCTTCTCGGAAGATGCATATTTGTGTTGCATTGTCTCATTGTAACAGATTTTGGTGTGAACTCAGAGGCCCAGATAAGCTGCGTATCCGGGTAAAATACGCATAGAAAATTTCCAATTACGCATTGAAAAAATAATTGTTGCGTACCAGTTACGCATTTAGACTGTTAGATACGCAAAAAGTTTAAAACAAATGCGTACGGAATATATTTATAAAAATCGCTTGCGTAATGAAAAAGACATCGATTGCTATCAAGTTGTGCTGTTAGTTTAGGACAAGTGTTGTACTGTCAGTATAGGATGAGTGATTTTTTATGAAATCATTTCCATTATATTAAAGTTGGTTTTGATTAGGTATATGACATAAGGCAGAACATACCTGCTTAGTAAACTTACTCAATGACATAATACTTAGGTGAGTAAAATGACTGAAATACGCACATATTTGAAAGCAGTGGGTAACGGAAAATGAAATACCCACTCAACATTCATAATACCCACTCCAAAAATACAGTGGGTACAGTACCCACATGAGCTTAATCTCTCTGAGCTAAATGAGCTCTGAGTGAACATTAGCATTTTAAAGTGAACAGATGTGATGATCAATGAATCTTGTGCCAAAAACTAGCCATGTTGTTGGAAAGACAAGTGACCGACATTTGATGGTGGTTCCAGGTTCTGGCAGTGTTCCAAGAGGTGGGCGTCAACGACTGTCTCTACTTTCTGGTGTTTGGCGAGTCCTTGCTGAATGGTGAGTAGATGCAGGATATGATGCTGTCACTGTCGTCTGCTCGTGTTTCAGGGGAAACCACTTGGGATCAAGGACTTGCTGGCATCGGACACCACTATATTGCAGTGTTCACGAATGGTGTTTCAAAGTAACAGGACATTGGGTCCTGTCAGTTTTAGATGTCTGTCTGACCCATTGAAAATTCAGAGGACCCATAGAATAAAATTAAACACACATTTCAGATTTAACATTTCTTATAACTGGCATTGAAATTATTAACAAACATAAGATTTATGAACAGCAAACAAGTGTCACATGTCACATATAACAACTTCAGTCAAAGTCATTGTGAAATATAGAGTCTGACACTGGGGCCGGCGGTTGTAGACTTCTATCGGACTGTTGGCAAATCTGCCGGATTTGTCAGAGGGTCAGACGCTATTCGTGAACACTGATATTGTCCTTTTATGTAATTATGGGGCTGTGGGGTAGTCTAGTGGTTAAAGTGTTTGCTTGTTACGGAAAAGCCCTGGTATTGATACCAGGGGGTCCGATTTCTTACGACAAGCATGGGTTACTGACTTCAGATCAATTCTAACCCGGACCTTCACGGGTCCAAACAAAGGCTGTGGGGTAGCCTAGTGGTTAAAGTGTTTGCTTTTTACGGAAAAGCCCTGTATTGATACCAGGAGTCCGATTTCTTACGACAAGCATGGGTTACTGACTTCAGATCAATTCTAACCCGGACCTTCACGGGTCCAAACAAAGGCTGTGGGGTAGCCTAGTGGTTAAAGTGTTTGCTTGTTACGCAAAAGCCCTGGTATTGATACCAGGGCTGCGATTTCTTACGACAAGCATGGGTTACTGACTTCAGATCAATTCTAACCCGGACCTTCACGGGTCCAAACAAAGGCTGTGGGTAGCCTAGTGGTTAAAGTGTTTGCTTGTTACGCAAAAGCCCTGGTATTGATACCAGGGGTGCCTAGTGGTTATTTCTTGTTACGACAAGCATGGGTTACTGACTTCAGATCAATTCTAACCCGGACCTTCACGGGTCCAAACAAAGGCTGTGGGGTAGCCTAGTGGTTAAAGTGTTTGCTTGTTACGCAAAAGCCCTGGTATTGATACCAGGGGTGCGATTTCTTACGACAAGCATGGGTTACTGACTTCAGATCAATTCTAACCCGGACCTTCACGGGTCCAAACAAAGGCTGTGGGGTAGCCTAGTGGTTAAAGTGTTTGCTTGTTACGCAAAAGCCCTGGTATTGATACCAGGGGTGCGATTTCTTACGACAAGCATGGGTTACTGACTTCAGATCAATTCTAACCCGGACCTTCACGGTCCAAAACAAAGGGAAGGATAATTGGCGTCAGGGGTTCTTTGAAGATGTAGGGCCAGCCAGAGAATACAAGAGAATCAACTGTTTTTGTAACAGTTACATTTATTTTTCACGTTTTTACATCTATATTATGGTAATGTAATTTATCGTATTTATTGCGATGCAATACAGGAGTTGTAAATGTATGTATTTGTTGTCAGCCTCATGTGGCAGTACAGTACTTCCCTGCAGCATCATTACACCACTACTGTATCAGGGGTTCAAATATCCCATCGCCCGATGCCCGGGACAAGTCAGTTTTCATTTCGGGCAAACAAATAATGGTATCTTACTTGTCCGTGGGCTACTAGATAATTTCCACTTATGGTTTCAAACTGCAAATAAACTTGGATATAATTTCATATCTGCTCAAAATGTAGCTATTAAATTTCGCAATGCTAATAAGTAGAGTTATCTTTCTTTGCTATTTATCACTTTTCAATAAATAGTCCAGTAAACATTAACATCAAATACCCTCATGATGTTGATTTATTCTTTCATGATTACATCATCATAATTATGTCATAAAATCAGGGCAAGTGGAAAATTAGTCAGGACAAGTTACTTTCTTAAAGTCACTTCCCTGTGACAAGTGGCTTTTAAAAAAGATTTTTGAACCCCTGCTGTATACAAATATACAGGAAGAAATTACTTGGTTGCTTGGTTTGTTGTTTCATGCCGCACTCAGCAATATCCCAGCTATATGGCGGCGGTGTGTAAATACTCGAGTCTGGACCAGACAATCCAGTGATCAACAGCACGAGCATCTATCTACACAATTCGGATAGCTGACATGTGTCAACCAAGTCAGTGAGCCTGACTACCGATTCCCGTCTAGTGTGCAAAATAGCCACTGGCCCGCTAGCCCGTAGCTAGTAAAAATCCAGTTGGGCCAGTAAATCTCCTACAGTCATTGGTCCGACTGTCTAGTGAATTTTCATGGGGTCATTTTGTAAATATATCTCTCTCTCCGACTTATGTTATGATACACTTTTAGATCATGCAACATTACAATGTTAAGTATATAAATATACAATTTATAGTAAATTTTTCAATTTCATTTATATTGACAGCACTGTGATTTAGTTAAGAAATACAGTTCGCTCTACCACCATGTATAGTGTAATAAAACACACTTTTGCCCTGAACTATTATAGTTAAAGCACGAGGACGCTTGCGTACGAGTGCTTTAACGTCATAATAGTTCAGGGAGAAAGTGTGTTTTATTACACTATACATGGTGGTAGAGCGAACTGTATTTCTTTTCTAAGATGCCAAATTTAATACTTTCTAAGGATAATTACGATTAATTTAAGGCAGAAAACAAACGACGGTGTTGGTGACCTAAATTAAGAATCCTCGCGCTGACGAACATCACCAGAAAAACAAATGATAAACAGTTTCATGACGGTTTACGTTGGGATTAAATATCTTCTCTAAAGTATTTTAATTACATCTGTGATTAACGTAAACCATGTGAACGTCGCATTTCTACTACCAACGTATGTTTAGACTACATCCAGACGAAGCTGAGTAGTCTAGCGACATTCCACGATTGCATTGTGGGAATGTAAACATTGCGAATGTTACCGTGTCGTTGAAAACTTGCGAGTCGAATTGAGACATTTAAAATGTCAGAAAACATAAACGTAATGTTTCCATCAGTGATGTTAGGTGAGTGAAGCAACTGCAAACCAAGAAACGCGATGCAACGTCGCTTACATTGTGACGTAATGTAAAATGGTTCGATTACGAGGGGGCACACTAGAATGGCGCAGTGACGGGATAACGTCATTCAATTGTTACGTCATCAAAAAACTATACCTTTATTGTCTGATAATGTTTGTTTTTTTCGATTGTTCTAACCGCTAGGCATCTTAGAAATTCAGATAACACAACTTTAACTGAACTCAGAGGATATACAAGCATGTCTATATTCCCTGATAAAACCTATATCCCGCCAAAGTGCCTACGATACATGGGTTGCTGGGGACCAATTTATCCCAGATCTTCATGGGTCTTGTGAAGAATTTACAAAAAATGATAATATGACACCACTGTCAATAATTAAACAATGGAACCTTTTCAGCTTACTGACTTGTGTATCTCTTTCTCCACAGTGGGGCTGCTCATGAACAGAAGAAAATTAGTCTTTGCCTCAAACAGCAATTTTAGAAGAAATATATCTTAATTGGTTTAAACATATTTTTATTCCTAGAGAATCTGGTTTGGTAAACAAGCAGAACTCTGCTTATATCAATACCTCACCAGTACATATATCATTTAAATAAAATACACAAGAACTGGATACAAAAACCGACAAATTAAATCATATATGTGCGTTGTAGGTGCTTATAAACATTGAGCTTGCAGCTACACTTCATTAATTGATTGCATATAATTGTTAGTATTATTTTTCAAATCGTTTAGACTTAAAGATGTATTGATGCAGGGACTCTATTATGTTAATCTTATTTAATCTTAATTATCTTAATTAAGTCTACCTGTGTTTTCCTGCAGATGGTGTAACGGTTGTACTATACCAGGTGTTCCAGACCTACAATAACCTACCAACCATTGGTGCAGACCAGGTAAGTGTCGTCACGTGATGTTTAAAGGTTAAATATGGGATCTAGCCTCATGTAGCCTTGCTCCAAGGCTGTACTGAATGCTAAGCCCATAGAAGTGTAGTAATTCTATCCTATAAGGAGTCTAGATAAGCAGACAGTTAGGACGCCAGGCTGTTATTTATACTTTTTTAGAAATGATCATTTAAACTAATAATTATTGCTTGTCTAAGTCTCATGTCATCATTCATTTTATTATTCCTTTGACCTTAAAAGGTCAAGGGTAAAATATACCCTTCATCCATTTGAAGACATTTTTGTTCCAGAAATAACCTGAAAAATATTAGTTGGAAAATGTTGTCAAATTGGGGACCACCTTTGATATCTATAACATACGGGCAGTGATATTTTTAGTTGTTCAAGAATTATGACAATTTACGTCTCTTGAACTCCTCAGGGCAAATGTGTTCAAACGATAACTTTATAATCATTTAATGTTTCCAGTATTGGCTAATGCCTTCTGTGTAAATAGGAAAGTTTGCAAAGTTTGATACAGATATTGTAATTTTATCAAGAATAAATGTACTTTACTCCTATAATTACCACATCAAATTTGTTCAACAAAATTTTTTAAACTATTTGATGGATTGTTTTCAAATTTGGTGCAAAGGGCCAAAACATGACAGTTTGGTCAAAATGTCGCCAGTTTGTTTTGGAAGGGAATGAGATGTCAACGCAGTGCAGGTGATATTTTCCACAAGTGCATGGCAGCAGTTTTATTGGTATAAATTTCAGTTTTACTGCTATATAAATAAATCTTCTCCTCTTATGTTTACTAGGTTAATCAATTCCGAGATGTAAACAATGAAACCGAACCTGTCTTCAATCTCTTAGACCACACACTGTGTACACAATCTTGTGACATTTCATGAAAGGTCACCAATCTAATACATAACATGTCATTGTTGACAAGTTGATTTTGTCGACTGCGTTTAAGCGGAAAAATAATTATGTTGATCAATGCAAATGTCAGTCAAAAAGCAACCATCTATAAAATATTCCTCCAGACAAACAGTCCTCTGGGAACGTCTTGAGTGAGTGAGTGAGTTATTATTTAACGTCACATCGGCAATATTGCAGCCATATCGTGACGTCTGGAGATAGTTGAGGCGACCATGGATATACCCTTCAGTCTGCTGATAAGGAAAAGTCAGTGACAGCGATGGGATTGTTGATAAAATTTTACTGCTAATATTTTGATGGTGAAACCTGATTAATTCACTTTGTAGCACCCTGTGCAGGTAGTGAAATTATGAAATCTTACCCTGATCTGGGATATTATATCTTTCTTCAAGATCATCATCACGGTCAAGCTCTAATACATAACCTGTCATTGTTGACAAGTTGATTTTGTTGACTGCATTTAAGCGGAAAAATAATTATGTTGATCAATGCAAATGTCAGTTAATAAGCAATCATCTATCAAAATATTCCTCCAGACAAACAGTATTGTGAGAACGTCTGGAGATAGTTATGGCGACCATGGATATACCCTTCAGTCGGCTGATAAGGAATAGTCAGTGACAGCGATGGGATTGTTGATAAAATTTTGCTGCTAATATTTTGATGGTGAAACCTGATTAATTCACTTTGTAGCACCTTGTGCAGGTAGTGAAAATATGAAATCGTACCCTGATCTGGGATACTATATCTTTCTTCAAGATCATCATCAAGGTCATGCTCAAACTAGTTTTAATTAATTGTGATAATCTTGTTGTTATACTATCGTCTGCTAACAGCTTATTAAAAAAGTATGAATACATGTATATTTATTATCAGTATAGAACTTTTTGTTGTCATGATATGGCTGAAATATTGCTGATGTGATGCAAACTTTTAACTCACTCACTCACTCACTCACTCACTCACTCACTCACTCACTCACTCACTCACTCACTCACTCACTCACTCACTCACTCACTCACTCACTCACTCACTCACTCACTCACTTTCACTCACTCACTCAAGGTCATAGCCAGAAGAAAAGTTTGTTTACAATCAAGTTTGTAACCGATACTTGGAACTTGTCAGTTTTGGTTTCTTTGCAGTAATTTGAAATAATTTTAGTGCGAGATAATGCAAATTCCAACATAAGGTCTATGAAAAATGTGATTTTTAACAAGATAGGAACATTTCTGAACTAATTGTGCATTATTGGAAAATATTCCAAGACATGGAAATCAGCAGGAACCAAGTTTGTCTGGTTCCAACTTGATTATGTAACGGCTGCTGTATGTTTTGATTGTAATATTGCAAAGTGTACCAGTAACAACAGTAAACAAACAGTTTGTAATTGGTAAATGTTTTACTGTTCAACCCTCTTCCACTCTGTGTAAATTCTATAGATTTGTGGGAACACGACCCATATTTCTGCATCGTAAAACCATGGAGCTTCTTGTTGGATCCATGAAGATCCAGGTTAGAATTGATCTTCAGCAACATATGCTTGTCGTAAGAGGCGACCCACAGGATCAGGTGATCAAACACACTCACTTAGTTGACACGTGTCACTGTATCCCAGTTGCACAGATCGATGCTCATGCTGATGACTGGATTGTCTGGTCCAAATTTGACCATTTTCGAACCGCCACCATATAGCTTGAATATTGCTGAGTACGGCATTAAAAAACAAACCTACTACAGTCGAGAACTGTTGTGTCGAACTCTGACAACTCAATATCTCGGTTGTCTAGATATAACATCTCGGTCCCGGCAAAATTCTTCATAATTTATCATTTTTCAAGCTCTTTTAACTCGATACGGATATCTCGATATAATTTAATGGTCCCAACAAGCCAAATTATCCTTTTAACTCGATATTTGCAAAGAAACTCGATATTGACCTACCTTTCGTGGGCAAGTATCCCTCTGAAGGTCGCATACCGATCCGTCAAATTTCTGATTTCAGAGTAGTAAAATGCTTTCAACGGATGAGCACTGGGATCTTAGCTATAAATTAGTTATCAAAACATTGGATCATACCAGAAAAAAGACACAAGGGATGTTGGATGGTTTGACTCTCTTTATTTTTGTACTTTTGTACTTATCTTTGCGAGCAGAAGGTCGCGGGTTCGATCCCCGGCCGCGTCATACCAAAAGACGTTAAAATATGGTACTTGTTGGTCCCTGCCTGGCTCTCGGCATTAATGGGTACAACAAGGACTGGTCGGTTCGGAGTCAGTATAATGTGTCTGAGTGGGGTATTCATGCTTCACTGCGGCATGGTATCTCAGTGGGCTAACACTATAAAACCAGCTTCAGTCTGGATTAGTACAAGCAGCCGCACATACATATACACACGCATGCACGTCGTCATATGAGCGAAATATTCTCAAGCACGACATAAAACCCAATTTCACCTCAACTCACCTCACTTATCTTTGCCTATTCATATGATAAAATGAGAAATTGATACATTAGATATATGTTCTGACTCTATTTATTTTTGTACTTTTGTACAAAATTGAAATTGATGCATTAATTAAAATGCATACATACGGAGAAATATGAAACATTATTTCATTGACACATTTTCAGTTTGTAGGATTGTTACACACGATCACCATACTCAGAGCAAGTGTCCGTTAATCCGATCTTGCAGCTCTGTAGTCTCTCATTCTCAGTTGTACTAATACCTTTACTCACAGTTTTATAATTAACTAATAAAACAAAACTATAATAGTTCATTGCAAACATCCACTTCCTCATCTGAGAACCCTTTAACTATTTAAGAAAACATGTGGTCTAATCCAATACAAGCCGACCCCTTAGTTAATGAACTTAGACTCTCCCAGTGTGTTAACACAGTCTGAAATTCGACCGATTAGCACTGAACCACTCAAGCATGATTTGACGGATCGGCACTGCTGACTGTTCAAAATTCGACGGATTAGGCCGTAATCCCTCTGAACTGAGGTTTCCACACGTTTACACACGGTGCGGCATGAATCAAAGGGATGCGGTAGTGTAATCTAATTGAGTTGAAGGTGTCACTTGTTTGTCATTTAATTAGGATTTATTAAGAAGGAATTAATTAGGAAGTACTCACTGTTACGACCAAACACTACTGATAACGGATTATAGTTTCGAAATCAAAACATACTGAGAAGCGTTTTGTTTTCTTGCATAGTGATATGTGACGATATGCCTGTTCGGATGTCTCGAAGTTCGGATAACTCGATATTTTTTCTCTTGGTCCCATGAATATGGAGACAATGGTGCTCGACTGTACTATTTGTTGCTCCAGTGTTCGACTGTGATGTGCCTGAATATCTGTGAGGTGATGCCTGTTTCAGATTGTGCTTGGTATTGTCAAGTTCTTCGTGGTGTGTTTCGGCGGTCTGTTCCTGGGGGTGATGGCAGGGGTCTTGTCAGCTGTCATCACCAAGTTCACAGTACACGTTAAAGGTATTGTATACTCGGGGTGAATCCATATACAGTAGTAGGCCATAAGTGAGTCATCATTAGTGAAATTTCCATAGACTTACATGTTGATTAACTGTTGCAAGAATAATTTTCATAAATTGAGAAGAAGTCATTTTATTTTGATATTTTGCAAACATCTTGGAAATCATCTTCAGCTAAGAGTACATAATTTTCTTTCATCTTTTCGTTAATTAGTTACCGAATGACACCTGATTACCGTATATGACCGTCTATAAGCCGAATTTTGAGGACCAAAAAAAGCAGTCTGTAGAAGGGGGTCGTCTTATCCATGGGTTACGCTTTCGTCAAACTTTTTTCCAGGTGTAAGAAAACAACATCGTATCACTTCGTGTGAACAAACAACAGAAGACGACTTTGTCAGTAGAGACGTCAAATTTGCAATTAAACATCACTAGACAAGATTATTTACCTTTTAAGTTACTAGTATAAGTTGTTTTTGCTTGGCATTGTATTATTTGCAGGGATTAAGATTACCTACAATAAATATATTTAGAGAAGCAAAATATATTATGCATTTTCTGTCCACTACACTTCGTTTCGATCCGTGAGTAGACACAATATATATGACAGTGAATTCTTTGAATAATGCCAGTTGTCTGTGGTCTGTGTTTGCCGCGATTAGGACCCGATCGCGGGGGATCGACTTATGCACGAAACATACCATTTTGACACTGATTTTAAGGGTCAAGTTTGGGGGTCGTCTTATCCATGGGGTCGTCTTATAGACGGTCATATACGGTAAGCACCATAAGTACAACTTAATTTTAATCTACCCCATAGACAGCCATGTTAAACCTGGTTGGTATGTCTAATATATGTTGTTTAAATAGTTGCAGTTTTCTTAATAATCATTGGAAAATTGAACCGAAATTATTTGTATGTAGCTGAGATGATTTCCCAGCTGGTAGACAATTGAAAGCAATTCAACCGAAACTAACTTTATGAAAATTATTCTTGCAAGAGTTAATTAACATGCAAGTCTATGGGAATTTCACTAATGATGACTCACTTATGGCCAACTACTGTAAGTCAAGGTGCAATACGTATCATGATACTGCAAGTTCATGATACAATACATATCACGATACGTAGGCCACAATATACCTGTTACGTGTATATACACATCAACTCACATGGAAACTTCATGACTATAAATGTTTCAGAGCGGTTTCAGAAGGAAAAGCAACCTGTGTTCGTTGTTTTTCTTCATTTATAAGCTTGGGTTAGGAATGTCATTAAAGGACCATACATAATCGATTTTAGCAAGTGTAGTCTTGTATTGAAAAATCATGTAACAAGACCCATATTGTCACGTGAAAACTGGGGCGGTGGGGTAGCCTAGTGGTTAAAGCGTTGGCTCGTCACGCCGAAGACCCGGGTTTGAATCCCCACATGGGTACAATGAGTGAAGCCCATTTCTGGTGTCCCCCGCCGTGATATTGCTGGAATATTGCTAAAAGCGGCTTAAAACCAAACTCAGTCAGTCAGTCAGTCATGTGAAAACTCACGTATTGGTGGATTGTTTCACCATTAATGAACATTCTTATACTGATGACACTGTTGCTTAGTAACTAGGGTTGGGGATTGCCAAAATTTCCGTATTGCGATATATTGCGGTATGTGTTGGCGTATTCCAATATGTATTGCGATATATTGCGGTATGTGTTGGCGCATTCCAATATGTATTGCAATATATTGCGGTATGTGTTGGCGCATTTCAATATGTATTGCGATATATTCCGGTATGTGTTGGCATGTATTGCGATATATTGCGGTATGTGTTGGCGTATTCCAATATGTATTGTGATATATTGCACATCGATATATTGCGGTATGTGTTGGCGTATTCCAATATGTATTGGGATATATTGCGGTATGTGTTGGCGTATTCCAATATGTATTGCGATATATTGCGGTATGTGTTGGCGCATTCCAATATGTATTGCGATATATTGCGGTATGTGTTGGCGCATTCCAATATGTATTGGGATATATTGCAGTATGTGTTGGCGTATTCCAATATGTATTGGGATATATTGCGGTATGTGTTAGAAGCGTATTCCAATATGTATTGGGATATATTGCAGTATGTGTTACGTATTCAATATGTATTGCGATATATTAGCGGTATGTGTTGCTGCGCATTCAATATGTATTGGCGATATATTGCGGTATGTGTTGGCGTGATTCAATATGTATTGCGATATATTGGCGGTATGTGTTGGCGCATTCCAATATGTATTATTAATATATATTGCGGTATGTGTTAGTATTCCGATATGTATTATATGCGGTATGTGTTGGCGTATTCCAATATGTATTGTGATATATTATGCGGTATGTGTTGGCGCATTCCAATATGTATTGGGATATATTCGCATGTATTTGTTGGTATTCCAATATGTATTGCGATATATTGCGGTATGTGTTAGGCGCATTCAAATATGTATTACGCGATATATTGCGGTATGTGTTGGCGTATTCCAATATGTATTGGGATATATTGCGGTATGTGTTGGCGTATTCCAATATGTATTGGGATATATTGCGGTATGTGTTGGCGTATTCCAATATGTATTGGGATATATTGCGGTATGTGTTGGCGTATTCCAATATGTATTGCGATATATTGCGGTATGTGTTGGCGTATTCCAATATGTATTGCGATATATTGCGGTATGTGTTGGCGCATTCCAATATGTATTGCGATATATTGCGGTATGTGTTGGCGTATTCCGATATGTATTGCGGTATGTGTTGGCGATATATTGGTATGTATGTGTGTTGGCGATATGAACCAATATGTATTGTGATATATTGCAGTATGTGTTGAAGCATTCCAATATGTATTGGGATGTATTATGTATTTGTTACGTATTCCAATATGTATTGCGATATATTATTGCGATGGTATGTGTTGGCGCATTCCATATGTATTGGGATATATTGCGGTATGTGTTGGCGTATTCCAATATGTATTGGGATATATTGCGGTATGTGTTGGCGTATTCCAATATGTATTGGGATATATTGCAGTATGTGTTGGCGCATTCCAATATGTATTGGGATATATTGCGGTATGTGTTGGTGTATTCCAATATGTATTGCGATATATTGCGGTATGTGTTGGCGTATTCCAATATGTATTGGGATATATTGCGGTATGTGTTGGCGTATTCCAATATGTATTGCGATATATTGCGGTATGTGTTGGCGTATTCCAATATGTATTGCGATATATTGCCGTATGTGTTGGCGTATTCCAATATGTATTGCAATATATTGTGAAAGTGTAACACATGGTTAAGGTAATGGAGTTATTGTTTCCTTTCTATTGAAACAATGCCCCTGGCCACTGTCAGGACTCAGATGTAATTGTACAAGAGATCAATTAAAATTGTTTCCAAATTGAAGACTTCACTCTAAAGTTTGCAACTCGAGAAAAAACGTCTGCAGCGGTGTCCCCCATTTTGGTTTGTTTATCAACGAGTGCCGGTACCAATCTATATGCTTTAAAAGTCATGCAAATGCAATTATATGGCGAATAAACACTCTCAAAACTATTAATGTATAAACATATAAAGGATATATATCAACATGAAAATTACCGATCATGGTCATGTAAATTACCGATCGTATCGGGCGAACCGGTTCGCGAAATGTGTACCTCAATATATCGTATTGTGAAGTTCGAATTGCAATATACCGGTTAACCGGTATTATCGCCCACCCCTATAATTAGTAACGGCCATCAAGATAAATTGTGTATGCTAGTACTTCATTGAAGTGACATTGTCTTCTGACTGGCCCTCTGTTTTGGTTAGACAGACAATGATTTTTTTTATCTTGACTAAGTACCATATATTTGTTTGTTTCTTTTGTTGTTGTTTTTAAGCTGTACTGAGCAATATTAACACAATATGGTGGCAGCGTGTAAATAATCAGGTCTGGACCAGACAATCCAGTGATTAACATAAAAAGCAACATCTGCACAGTTGGGAAATGATAACATGTCAGCCAAGTCAGCGAACCTGACCACCTGATCCCGTTAGTGGCTTCTTGGTATACGACAAGCATGGGTTACTTAATACCAGTTCTAACCCAGATCTCCAAGGGTCCTGTATTTAGTAACTGCCATGGAGTTAGATTACGTGCGATAGTACTTGATTGAAGTGACATCTTGTTCAAGTCTACTCGGACACTGGTTTATTTACATCTTGTGTAACTATCATTGTCACATTACGTGATTTAATTTCGTTTCGGTTAGTTCACGGTAATACTTTTAGTCAACTGAGAGTTGTCTCCCTTGGTAAACATTGTGCCAAGACATGGCGAATGTAACTTGATCTTGAAGATTAAACTTTTAAGTTTAATTGACATTCATGGCATCTTTTCGACCAAGGACCAAGCATAACAACCATGTGTAAGAATTATGTCTTTCTTAAAAAGGTTGAGGCTGGAACGGGGTTAGCACAGGCTTGAGAAAACACCTGAAATTTGGACATTTTACCCTAAAAAGGCTCTAAATTCATTTTAACATTGACAAGGCCTAATTGCCAGTGATTTAGCCTAGAAAGGCCATATGTGTCACAAAGTTTGTCAAGTTATGATTTTACAGGAAACTAATGCATAATATAAATAGCTTGCAATCCCAGTAGGTGTTTATTAATCTTCACTCCAGTGCAGCGATGTAGTTAAGAGTTATCTCCCTTGTTTAAGCATATTTTTATTCATGAAAGAATCTGGTTTGGTAAACAAGCAAAGTTATCTCCCTCTGATGGTTGGTCCCACTTTTGACCAACCCTGTGCTTCCATTTTATACCACCAATCATTTTGGAAAAGGATTCTTTAAACCATATTGAATATAAATAATATGATAATTCTATAAAATCATTTTGCTCTTTTCTCTCATGAAAAGTATTGGTTGTTTGGATCTTGTGTATTCCACCAAAACTATGATGATTCTGCCTACATATAGACTGTTTGTGTTGTACCCGTGAAGGTCCGGGTTAGAATGAATCTTCAGTAACCCATGCTTGTCGAAAGAGGCGACTAACGGGATCGGATGGTCAGGCTCGCTGGTTTGGTTGACGCATATAATCGGTTCCCAGTTGCGCAGATCGATGCTCATGCTGTTGATCACTTGATTGTCTGGTCCAGACTCGATTATTTACAGACTGCCGCCATATAGCTGGAATATTGCTGAGTGCGGTGTAAAACTAAACTCACTCACTCACTCACTGTTTTTGTTGCAGTTGTGCAGCCGCTGGTGATCTACAGCATGGCGTACCTCGGCTTCCTCCTGGCGGAGCTGTTTGAGTTCTCCGGCATCATTAGCATTATCGGCTGCGGCCTCGTCCAGGTCCAGTACGCCTTCCACAACATCAGCGACAAGTCCAGGACTACGGTCAAATACTTCACCAAGGTCATCAGGTGAATGTCATAATTTTATTTCAGTAATTGTATTACTTATTTCAAACAATAACAGCAACAATGACACACATGACATTAAATGTCAATGATAATCCTCAACCCTTGTAGTGGGGCTGTGGGGTAGCCTGATGGTTAAAGTGTTCGCTCGTCAAGCCGAAGACCCGGGTTCGATTGCCCACATGGGTACAATGTGTGAAGCTCATTTCTGGTTTCCCCAGCCGTGATATTGCTGGAATATTGCTAAAAGCGGCGTAAAACCAAACTCACTCACTCAACCTTTGTAGTGGCTGGAATAGTAATGAAAAAGCATTAGTGTGAATTACTTAGCTGATAGTTGTTGTGTATTCATGTGATATTTTCAAGAATTGGGCATAAAAAGTCGTAGAAAGTCACTCTTAGCTTGATAACAGTGTAAGAATCTGCACCAAAATGTCACTCTATGCAATAAACAAGAAGATGTATGCACAAAGTCTTATGTTTCATTATTACGTCATAAAAGAGTTAATCTAGTGATAGCTTCTATCAATCAACTATACAATTAGCATCCAATCAGCTTGTTAACAGTTGAATCCATCGTGTCTATAGGCTTCCTGACTTGTGATATAAATTGTTCTGACTCTCCTACTGGCCTCATCCAAGTTTATGCTACTTAAAGGCAAGAATTTATGGATGTCAAGTCCTTTATGTGGAGGAGACCTGTGAAGGCCCTTGTTAGAATTGATCTTCAGCTACCCATGCTTGTCGTAAGAGGCGACTAACGGGATCGGATGGTCAGGCTTGCTGACTTGGTTGACATATGTCATCGGTTCCCAGTTGCGCAGATCGATGCTCATGCTGTTGATCACTAGATTGTCTGGTCAAGACTCGATTATTTACAGACCGCCGCCATATAGCTGGAATATTGCTGAGTCCGGCGGCGTAAAACTAAACTCACTTTATTTGGAGGAATATGACCTTCATCCGATGACATGACATTATGTGCTCTTTGTTATCAATTACTTGTGTTTGTTATTGTAAATATGCTGCACGTCACTACATACTATACATATATACTTCTAATATCCTAGCTGTACTCACTTAGTCTCTTTCAGCTTGATCACGATGTAAGAATTTTCATAAAACGTTGCTTTATGCAATAAACAAGAAGTTGTTATCCATAAAGTTAATTGCGTCGTCATTCAATTACCGGTGTCTAGAAAGCCAATCAAACAACAAGAATACTGATCAAGCAGTACTTTAACTTCAAATGTTTTCCATGGTTACATGGGGTTAAAATTTTAAAAAAGCATCATTCTAAATAATTATTGCTTCAGAAATAATCACGTGTCTATCTGTCCCAAATATAAAGTGTTGAGGTTGCACAATAAAGGTTCTGATCTTTTCCTGTGCAGCACCACCATGGAGATTGTGATCTTCCTGTTCCTGGGCCTGGCCTTGATCAGAGAGCACTACTGGCATACAGGCTTTGTGTTGTGGACCATCCTTCTCTGCTTCGTCTACAGGTTCATCAGTAAGTCACTCATTGCCAACCACAAGATCTGGGTTATCAGCCCATACTTGTCTCCCCTGTGAAGATCAAGCCTTCTATTAGGTACCTTCAGCTACCCATGCTTGTCTCCCCATTTGAAGATCTTGATTGGAATTAGTCTTCAATAACCCATGCTTGTCTCCCCATTTGAAGATCTTGATTGGAATTGGTCTTCAATAACCCATGCTTGTCTCCCCATTTGAAGATCATGATTGTAATTGATCTTCAATAACCCATGCTTGTCTCCTTTTGAAGATCTTGATTGGAATTGGTCTTCAATAACCCATGCTTGTCTCCCCATTTGAAGATCATGATTGGAATTGGTCTTCAATAACCCATGCTTGTCTCCCCATTTGAAGATCTTGATTGGAATTGGCCTTCAATAACCCATGCTTGTCTCCCCATTTGAAGATCTTGATTGGAATTGGTCTTCAATAACCCATGCTTGTCTCCCCATTTGAAGATCTTGAATTGGTCTTCAATAACCCATGCTTGTCTCCCCATTTGAAGATCTTGATTGAAATTGGCCTTCAATAACCCATGCTTGTCTCCCCATTTGAAGATCTTGATTGGAATTGGTCTTCAATAACCCATGCTTGTCTCCCCATTTGAAGATCTTGATTGGAATTGGTCTTCAATAACCCATGCTTGTCTCCCCATTTGAAGATCTTGATTGGAATTGGTCTTCAATAACCCATGCTTGTCTCCCCATTTGAAGATCTTGATTGGAATTGGCCTTCAATAACCCATGCTTGTCTCCCCATTTGAAGATCTTGATTGGAATTGGTCTTCAATAACCCATGCTTGTCTCCCCATTTGAAGATCTTGATTGGAATTGGTCTTCAATAACCCATGCTTGTCTCCCTTTTGAAGATCTTGATTGAAATTGGTCTTCAATAACCCATGCTTGTCTCCCCATTTGAAGATCTTGATTGGAATTGGTCTTCAATAACCCATGCTTGTCTCCCCATTTGAAGATCTTGATTGAATTGAATTGGCCTTTTGAATAACCCATGCTTGTCTCCTTTTGAAGATCTTGATTGGAATTGGTCTTCAATAACCCATGCTAATCTTCAATAACCCATGCTTGTCTCCCTTTGGAGATCTTGATTGGAATTGGCCTTCAATAACCCATGCTTGTCTCCCTTTGAAGATCTTGATTGGAATTGGTCTTCAATAACCCATGCTTGTCTCCCTATTTGAAGATCTTGATTGGAATTGGTCTTCAATAACCCATGCTTGTCTCCCCATTTGAAGATCTTGATTGGAATTGGTCTTCAATAACCCATGCTTGTCTCCCTTTGAAGATCTTGATTGGAATTGGCCTTGAATAACCCATGCTTGTCTCCTTTTGAAGATCTTGATTGGAATTGGTCTTCAATAACCCATGCTAATCTTCAATAACCCATGCTTGTCTCCCTTTGGAGATCTTGATTGGAATTGGCCTTCAATAACCCATGCTTGTCTCCCTTTGAAGATCTTGATTGGAATTGGTCTTCAATAACCCATGCTTGTCTCCCTATTTGAAGATCTTGATTGGAATTGGTCTTCAATAACCCATGCTTGTCTCCCCATTTGAAGATCTTGATTGGAATTGGTCTTCAATAACCCATGCTTGTCTCCCTTTGAAGATCTTGATTGGAATTGGCCTTGAATAACCCATGCTTGTCTCCTTTTGAAGATCTTGATTTGAATTGGTCTTCAATAACCCATGCTAATCTTCAATAACCCATGCTTGTCTCCCTTTGGAGATCTTGATTGGAATTGGCCTTCAATAACCCATGCTTGTCTCCCCATTTGAAGATCTTGATTGGAATTGGTCTTCAATAACCCATGCTTGTCTCCCCATTTGAAGATCTTGATTGGACTTGGCCTTCAATAACCCATGCTTGTCTCCCTTTGAAGATCTTGATTGGAATTGGCCTTCAATAACCCATGCTTGTCTCCTTTTGAAGATCTTGATTGGAATTGCTCTTTAATAACATATTATGCTTGTCTCCTTTTGAAGATCTTGATTGGAATTGGTCTTCAATAACCCAAGCTTGTCTCCCTTTGAAGATCTTGATTGGAATTGGCCTTCAATAACCCATGCTTGTCTCCTTTTGAAGATCTTGATTGGAATTGGTCTTCAATAACCCAAGCTTGTCTCCCTTTGAAGATCTTGATTGGAATTGGTCTTCAGTAACTCATGCTTGTCTCCCTCTGAGAATATCCGGATTAGAATTGGTGTTCCTAAACCTATGCTCGTCCCCCTGTGAAGAAGCCTGCTAGAATTGAACTTCAGTAATCAATACTTATCTCCCCTGTGAAGGTCCAGTGTAGAATTGGTAACACATGTTCGTCTCCCCATGCAGATATTGATTAGAATTGGTCTTCAATAACCCATGCTTATTGCTAGAGGTGGCGGACAGTGTAGAATGGAAGACGTCCCATTACTTGTCACGGCAGAAGGACCTTGATGTAATGATTGCATGTATGTTTGTGTTTTTCAGTCACATTCTTCTTGTCTTTCCTGATCAATAAACTGGACAAGTTCCGAGTGAGAAAGATCGGATACGACGAGCAGTTCATGATAGTGAGTATTCTTGTGTCATGGAAGTTCCATCACTTAAGAACTGTCACTGAATTTCAAAGTAATATTCATATAATCTTATTTTCAAATCACTTACCTCAAAACTTGTTTATTTATGTTAAACATTTCCGAAATCCAGGTATTTTTACTGCTTTTCACAATCGCGGCATGGCCGCCCTCTCACTGTCAATACAAGTGACCATGAAAGCTACGTCACACAATTTCAATCATATGATTGGCTGGCTTGTCATGTAAATAGGATGACTTGTATGGACGATCTCTTGTGTCAAATTCAGAGCTGGAGCAGTCCCAAGTAATTTTATGGTATTTATGTCCATGAAACGTTCATTTAATGTTTCAATACTTCTAAAAACGATGAAAAGTCACACATATTCAGCTTATATACAAGTATTATGCAGGGAGTTATTCTTCAGGCTCATCGTGACGGGCACCAAACCTCAGAATGTCGACAAACACCACGAACTGGCTTGCAGAAACGTAAATGTGTTCTGTGCTGACATGTAGGGTGGGTACATTGTGCCCAGGTTGTATTTATCAATGAGGCACTAGCTCGAACCTCATCAGGTACAAATTGACGGAAATTCTCAAAAAGCATTAAGTTTTCTATAAGAAATGGCCCTTACTTGTTTCCAAAGTTTTAAATTTTGACAAGGATATCACGTGTCTGGTCATGTGACATTTAGACCAGCTATGTCAACAAGCAGAAGACAGGTTTGCTGTCAATTTACAACGTTTGAAATAAATACTGTTGACATTTTATTTGAGCTGATAAAGTTACATTATTGAACTAGGGTTAAAAAGTAGTTGTTTGCTGAATATGAGCTATAACTTAGGTTTGGTAACTTGACACGAAACATTTTCCGGTCAAAACGAATGAAAGCGGTGTCACCAGAAGATCAAAGCTGCAGATACTGTAACTTATCGCTACGTATCGCGACAATTACCATTCAAAATAGGCGATCAAAGTTACATGTCGTGACATGTGTGACATGACAATATATTGATGATATTGATGACAATGAAGTATTCTTACCATGTGATTAAAACTAAATGACGTTTTTCTTCTCCCAAATGTTTATTTCTTAAAAGTAACTTTTTTTCACTTTATAAGTATTAGAATGCCTGTAACTAACTGCATAATTTATTTAGTATTTCATGATTCATTTTCAAGTGCAAGGGGCGGTGGGATAGCCAAGTGGTTGAAGCATTTGCTCATCGTCCCGAAGACCCGGGTTCGATTCCCCACATGGGTACAATATGTGAAGGCAATTTCTGGTGTCCCCCGCCCTAATATTGCTGGAATATTGCTAAAAGTGGCGTAAAACTAAATTCACTCACTCAAGTTGCAAGGGTAGTGTTGTATTGTGTGTCAGCTGTTTGGTTTTAATGTTCTAATACTGTTGACACTGACTATGGTTGCAGGCCTATGGAGGCCTGAGAGGCGCCGTGTGCTTCTCCCTGGTGATGCTACTGGATGAAGATTCGCTCCCTCCAAACATGAAGAATATGTTCGTCACAACCACGCTCATTATCATCATGTTTACTGTGTTTGTTCAGGTAAAACATAACATGATGTTATAGATGTAGGACTTTAAAGTAGCTTTGATTCTGCTTGAGGTGTAAATACATCAGATGATAGTCTGCAGCAAATGATGCAAAAGTTCCTAATTATCCCTCGCAACGCATTTTGTGGGGGTATTAAAATGAACTCCATCCGTGCCTGCCTGCCTGCCTGCCTGCGTGGTCGTGCGTCCGTCCGTCCGTGCACATTTGTCTTTTCCGGAGCAGAACTCTAAAACCATACAGTATTTCTTCACCAAACTTGGCACATAGATAGATCTGGTGGTGTACTGGTGCCTTTTGGTAGTTTTGGAATTCTGAATAAAATATTTTTGGCATTTCTATGGCAACAAGTTTGACTAAAACAGAAATTAGTGGTAGTGCACTTTTCCGGAGCAGAACTCTAAAACCATTTAATATTTCTTCACCAAACTTGGCACATAGATAGATCATAGATCTGGTGGTGTACTGGTGCCTTTTGGTAGTTTTGGATTTCTGAATAAAATATTTTTGGCATTGCCATGGCAACAAGTTTGACATAGACTGAAATTGGTGATAGTGCTCCTTTCTGGAGCAGAAGTTTAAAAACCTTTCAATACTCTCCTTCCACTTTTCTATATACACACCTAAATATTTGACATATTCATAACTCGTAGACATAATCATGAAGAGTATTTTGCCATTGCGGGGGATATTGATGACTTTGTCTTCTTGTTTGAATTAGGTATGCCTTAGAAATTACAAGACTACGAACATTCAGTGTCCAATTTCGAGCAGTATCATGTTTGCAACAGCAGTTGGAATTGTAGATAATCCCCTGTGAATTAAATGCAAGTTTCAGTTAAAAATTGTGCACTCCTTTTGATAAGCTTTTCTTTCTTCAGTCTCTGCTGAGTGTTCTTCTGTTCCACTTCCTCTTCATCCTCTTTGCTGTTTCTGCTTCCATTCCTTAGACATTCAGCGCTGGAACTGCCGAGCGCTGCTGAACACAAGATAGTCTTCTCTTTCTCAATGTTTCTTTCTTTGTGTCATCTTCTCCACAACCCTTCACCCATCATGCATCTTCTTTACCATAAATCTTTTCCCCTTACATTTTCATCTAGGTTGTCTTCTTCCTCTTCTTCTTCTCCTTTATGGCTTTCTTTTTCTTTGTCTTGGTCGTGTCCTCCTGCTAGGTCTTTGTCTGGATCTTCGACTTCTCCTCTTTTTTCTCCTCCTTCCAGGACTTCTACTTTTTGGTCATCTCTTGCTAGGCCTTCTCCTTGGTCGTGTCCTCCTGCTAGGTCTACGTCTTCTGGATCTTCTACTTCTCTTTGGTCTTCTCCTCCTTCTGGGTCTTCTACTTCTTGGTCTTCTCCTCTTCCTGGGTCTTCTACTTCTTGGTCTTCTCCTCTTCCTGGGTTTCCTACTTCTTGGTCTTCTCTTCCCTCTGGGTTTTCTACTTTATGGTCTTCTAATGCTAGGCCTTCTCCTTGGTCGTCTCTTCTTGCTAGGTCTTCTTCTTCTCGATTTTGTACTTCACCTCAGTCTTCTCCTCCTTCTACTTCTTGGTCATCTCCTCCTACTAGGCCTTTTCCTCCTACTGGGTTTTATACTTCTTGGTCTTCTCCTTCTGGGGTTTCTCCTCCTGGGTCTTCTACTTCTTGATCTTCTCCTCCTTGGTCTTCTACTTCTTGATCTTCTCCTCCTTAGCCTTCTCCTCTTTGGTCATCTTCTCGGTTTTCTACTCCTTTCCAGGCATTCCTCTTCTTCAAATTGTGTTTGTCGAGTTCCACATCACTTCTCAGTATCCTTTTGCCCTATCTTACTGACCTGTGAATATCCGACTTAGAATTGATCTTCAGTAACCCATGGTTGTCGTAAAAGGTGACAAATGGGATCAGGTGGTCAGACTCGCCAACTTGTCATCGTATCCCAATTTCGTGGATCAATGTTCATGCTGTTGATTGTCTGGATTGGCTGGTCCAGACTCGATTATTTACAGACCGCCGTCATATAGCTGGAATATTGCTGAGTGCGGTGTAAAACTTAACTCACTCACTCCCTATCTTACTGACATCCTGCACATTATGTGTTTAATGTACTGATCCTGATGTGTTTTCACAGGGTATTAGCATGAAGCCTCTGGTAGAAGTGTTCAAGGTGAAACTTGCCCCAGAGAAGCAGCTCAGCATGTATCGGGAGCTCAGCAACCATGTAAGTAGTGGATCTATATGGAGCCTCCTTTTCATAGACTCTCTGGTCCCACTGGATCACAGGGTGATTCTACAGAAAATCTGCTCTGTCCGGGGTTTTCTGCAGGAAGTCCCACTGTCTCAGAGTTATTCTGCAGAAAGTCATGCTGTCTGAGGGCTATTCTGCAGAAAGCCATGCTCTCTCAGGGATAACCTGCAGAAAGGCATGCTCTCTCAGGGATAACCTGCAGAAAGGCATGCTCTCTCAGTGTTATTCTGCAGAAAGAGATGCTCTCTCAGTGGTATTCTGCAGAAAGTCATGCTCTGTCAGGGATAACCTGCAGAAAGTCATGCTCTGTCAGGGATAACCTGCAGAAAGTCATGCTCTCTCAGTGGTATTCTGCAGAAAGAGATCCTCTCTCAGGGTTATTTTGCGGAGAAAGTCATGCTCTGTCAGGGATAACCTGCAGAAAGTCATGCTCTCTCAGTGTTATTCTGCAGAAAGAGATGCTCTCCAGTGGTATTCTCCAGAAAGTCATGCTCTCTCAGTGTTATTCTGCAGAAAGAGATGCTCTCCAGTGGTATTCTCCAGAAAGTCATGCTCTCTCAGTGTTATTCTGCAGAAAGAGATGCTCTCCTGTGGTATTCTCCAGAAAGTCATGCTCTCTCAGGGATAATCTGCAGAAAGTCTTGCTCTCTCAGTGTTATTCTGCAGAAAGAGATCCTCTCTCAGGGTTATTTTGCAGAGAAAGTCATGCTCTCTCAGGGATAACCTGCAGAAAGTTATGCCTTCTGTGTTATTCTGCAGACAGTCATGCTCTCTCAGGGTTATTCTTCAGAAAGAGATGCTCTATCAGGGATATTCTGCACAGTAAATCCTGTTGTCTCAGGTATATTTTACAGAAACTCCTGCTGAGTGAATGAAAATCCAACTTCTCAGAGGTAATCAGTGGAAAGTTATTCTGTACCCCAGATATCACAGATTCTAACAGAGAACAGATAGAACTCTAACATATTGGATCAGAAGTTCATCATGCAGACATTTTATCTCCACGACATATGTTTGCAAACTAAGTATCAACTGTAGATATATGTGTACATATTGGCTTTCTTGACTGGTACCACACCTCAACCCAGCAAAAAGTTTGAATTGGAAAATCTACTCATAATTTTGCTGGTTGATATTTTAGTGGCTAATATTGACAAATAGTATACTCATTTTAGAACAGACATTGGGTGTGGGTATTTCTCATGACCTTTCTTAACACCTCTCCTCAACTGATGTTCCAGATAATAGATCACCTGATGGCTGGGATGGAAGATATCATTGGATTCAACGGAAAGTATTCATTCAAGGTAAAACCACACTTATAGTTCTTTGTTTTCTGCTTCTGCTCATGCCAGTTTGAGCTAGCCCGATAATTCCTGTATTAAAAACAATAAGTATCTATGGACATGTTATGTTCCAAGTGAAGACTGAATTGGCTCTGTGATATCTGCCATCAAAAGTCACATTCCTTCCCGTCTTCTTACATTACAGGATAAAGAGTGACCGAGTTGGGTTTTACGCCACTGCTTTTAATATTCCAGCAATAACATGTTGGGGACACCAGAAATGGGTTTCACACATTGCAACGTGTGTGGTACTAGCAAATATTTTGGTATCAGCAACATTTATGGTACCAGCAACATGTTTGGTACTAGCAACATATTACCAGCAACATGGTATCAGCAACATTTATGGTACCAGCACCAGCAATATGTTTAGTATGTGATCATGATCAAAATATGGCAGACTTTAATATTATATCTGGATTTTCAAGTTGTAAATAATACTTGCATACACGTATATGAAATTTCAATTTAAAGTGAGACATTTGTGATAAATGCTTCTCTTTTCAGGAAAAATTAGACAATTTCGATAGTCGTTACATCCGGCCGTGTCTGCAGATTGAGCCCCAGAGGAGTGATACAGAGCTGAAGACTTTCTACAACAAGATTGTCTTAAAGTGGGTGAACTCCTCATACTGGACACTCTGTAATCCAACATTCTCTTCCCTCTGGACCTCTGTGCAATTCAGAGGTTTCAAGCACCCCAGGCAACCATCATTGTTTGGGTACACATGTACTGGGAACATTTGAATTCACTGAGAACCTTCCATTGGTTAATCCATACCATGTGAGGAATGTATAATTTGAACGTGAAACCTCAAATCATGTGACTGACACTGACCGTGAATAAAGAATGTCACAATCTTAATGATCAATTCCGTCATGAATAGAAAAATGATTGCATCTGAAAGTAACATTTCAATGCTTGTAGGTTGATGTAAAGTAAAAAGACAGTTTGAAGGCCTTGTACAGTAATGTGTGTCTTTGTACAATGAGACAAATGATTACTCTTGATGAGGTCAGTTTTCAAACACACCTGACACCTCCTTTTACCTCCGGTCAAAGTGACTCCGAGGTCTGGCTATCAGTTGTATGGTAACAACTTTCACTGTAGGATCTGGTCCCCTTTGACTTGAAAATATGGACAACAATAGGCACAATTCACCAATACAGGACAGCGCCTCCCTTCACAAAGCACTAAGGTGATCGTAAGTCACTAAAGTAATCTTAGTGCAATGTTAAAGAATGGGAGTTAAGGTTAACCTTAGTAAAGGTTGCTTCGTGAAAGAAGCCCCTGGTCAATAAGTTTGCCGGACATAACTGACTCCTAGATTGGTCCTCAGTAACACATGCTTGTCGTAAGAGACGACAAACGGGATAGGGTCGTCTGGTTTGCTGACCTAGTTAATAGTGTTGGGAATTGGTGTAAATCTCTTAATTAATGATTGGTTCATTACAACCGATCAATCATTGAAAATAATTGGTTAGCATCATTTATAAAATTTTCCTGGTTATGTTCGTTAATGCACAAAAAATAAAGAAAAAACATGTAGTTCTCTCGAGTTTTAATTCGCAAATTGCACAAAATGCATTTGCAAATTTCACATCTTTAAAGGATGACTATAGTTAGGACCATACATTTCCTGGACTTGTTAAGATAAACTTAATCATGACTTGGAACGAGCTTGTAGTGCTTATGCAATGTTGAGACAAAATCAACCTTTTGAAAAAATATTGTTATTGCAAACAAGTGATCCAAAATTGTTTGTGTTCGATTATGAGAAAACATGATAGATTGCTTGATCGTCTTGTCATTGCGACCATCTTCGATTATTCCAGTTAACCGGACCACCACTAGTGTTGACTGTTTAGGCCGGTGTGAATATCAGATTCGCTGACCTAGTTAACACATGTCATTGTATACCACTTGCTTATATCAATCCTCATGCTGTTGAACACTGGATTGTCTGGTCCAGACTCGATTAGTTACATCCCGCTGCCATATAGCTGGAATATTGCTGAGTGCGGAGTTAAAAAAACAAACCAACCAACCAGCCAGAAAAAAAGTTCCGGGCAAGTGGAAACTATCCTTTAGTTGCCCCTGAGCAAATTTGATAACGGGCTTGAAACTTTGATACTCAGAAGATACAGCATGTGTTAAAAAAGAAGTTGTATTTCATTTTAGTTGAATTTATCTAGTCCTTGATGATAAAATAAATGAAAACATTAACAAAAAGAATTTTTAAAAAAAAACAAGTAAGGACATAACATGTGAAAAGAAACAGAAACAAAACTTCGAATATTGTTGATAAGGCCGTCTTTTCTCTGATGCAGCAGGGAAAGTACAAAGTCAGACTTGCTTGATAACGGTGTTAGTACCTACACCAAAACGTCACACTCATTGCAATAAAGAACATGCCTTTCCATAGAACTTGGTTTTCCTTTCTCTTCACAACTTTTAAGATGCCTCTCAAAGAGATTTACTTGACATTGGGCAACGAGGCAAATTTTGGTAATTGAACAGCATTGACCAATATGTCCCCATTTTTGAGATGATACAAGGCGATACACTTACATATATCATTTTAAATTTAATCCTGTATCAATTCAGTTTTTATTCCTGTTACTTTTTACATTTGGATCCTTCTATTTCAGTGATAAGTTTTGCTAGCAGAATTTACTAATAGATTTTTACCTTTTTTATTTCAGAGAACATTTCAAGTATTTGAGGATGTGTGGGGTCCAGTCAGTACCAGGAGAGGCGAATATGTAAGAAACTATTTCTTAGCATTACCTCAATGCACCTGAATATTTTGTGGATGTAATTAAAATTAGTACTGGTAATTAAGATCAGTGCTGGTAAGATACGTGTGATATGATGACTGGTAAGATACGTGTGATATGATGACTGGTAAGATACGTGTGATATGATGACTGGTAAGATACGTGTGATATGATGACTGGTAAGATACGTGTGATATGATGACTGGTAAGATACGTGTGATATGATGACCGGTAAGATACGTGTGATATGATGACCCGGTAGGATAATGTGGTGGTGATATGATGACTGGTAAGATACGTGATATGATGACTGGTAAGATCGTGTGATATGATGACTGGTAAGATAATGCGGTGTGATATGATGACTGGTAAAATACGTGTGATATGATGACTGGTAAGATAATGTGTGATATGATGACTGGTAAGATATATGATGGTATGTGATATGATGACTGGTAAGGTAATGCGTGTGATATGATGACTGGTAAGGTAATGCGGTGATATGATGACTGGTAAGGTACGGTGTGATATGATGACTGGTAAGATATGCGTGTGATATGATGACTGGTAAGATACTTGTGATATGATGACTGGTAAGATACGCGGTGATATGATGACTGGTAAGATACGTGTATATATGATGACCGGTAAGATACTTGTGATATGATGACCCGGTAAGATACGCGTGTGATATGATGACTGGTAAGATACGTGTGATATGATGACTGGTAAGATACGTGTGATATGATGACTGGTAAGATACGTGTGATATGATGACTGGTAAGATACGTGTGATATGATGACTGGTAAGATACGTGTGATATGATGACTGGTAAGATACGTGTGATATGATGACTGGTAAGATACGTGTGATATGATGACTGGTAAGATACATGTGATATGATGACTGGTAAGATACGTGTGATATGATGACTGGTAAGATACGTGTGATCTAGGATGAGGTACGATGATTGAGATCGGATCTGTATATTTGCTGTCTGTTCCAGACCCCACATAGACACCAGCATGTACCTGCCAGGCGCTGGACAGAAGGCTGGAATTGGGGAAGAAGATGACGATCCCACCAAGATGCCTGTAGCTATAGAGACAGGTAAAGCATCCTGACAACTTTCGCCTACATACACTTTGATGCTGTCATGTACCTGAGTCTGTGGTGTACGACTTTGACTTGCATACACTACATTGCTGTCATGTACCTGAGTCTGTGGTGTACGACTTTCACCTGCTTACACTAACATGCTGCCGTGTACCTGAGTCTGTGATGTACCATGCTGTCATGTACCTGAGTCTGTGATGTACCATGCTGTCGTGTACTTGAGTCTGAGATGTATGACTTTCACCTGCATACACTACCATGCTGCCGTGTACCTGAGTCTGTGATGTACCATGCTGTCGTGTACTTGAGTCTGTGATGTACGACTTTCACCTGCATACACTACCATGCTGCCGTGTACCTGAGTCTGTGATATACCATGCTGTCGTGTACTTGAGTCTGAAATGTATGACTTTCACTTGCATACACTACCATGCTGCCGTGTAGCTGAGTCTGTGATGAACCATGCTGTCATGTACCTGAGTCTGTGATGTACGACTTTCACCTGCATACACTACCATGCTGCCGTGTACCTGAGTCTGTGATGTACGACTTTCACCTGCATACACTACCATGCTGCCGTGTACCTGAGTCTGTGATGTACGACTTTCACCCTGCATACACTACCATGCTGCCATGTACCTGAGTCTGTGATGTACTGACGACTTTCACCTGCATACACTACCATGCTGTACCATGTCGTGTACCTGAGTCTGTGATGTATACGACTTTCACCTGCATACACTACCATGCTGCCATGTACCTGAGTCTGTGATGTACGACTTTCACCTGCATACACTACCATGCTGCGTGTACCTGAGTCTGTGATGTACGACTTTCACCTGCATACACTACCATGCTGCCATGTACCTGAGTCTGTGATGTACGACTTTCACCTGCATACACTACCATGCTGCCATGTACCTGAGTCTGTGATGTACGACTTTCACCTGCATACACTACCATGCTGTCATGTACCTGAGTCTGTGATGTACGACTTTCACCTGCATACACTACCATGCTGCCATGTACCTGAGTCTGTGATGTACGACTTTCACCTGCATACACTACCATGCTGCCATGTACCTGAGTCTGTGATGTACAACTTTCACCTGCATACACTACCATGCTGCCGTGTACCTGAGTCTGTGATGTACGACTTTCACCTGCATACACTACCATGCTGCCGTGTACCTGAGTCTGTGATGTACGACTTTCACCTGCATACACTACCATGCTGCCGTGTACCTGAGTCTGTGATGTCGACTTTCACTTGCATACACTACCATGCTGTCATGTACCTGAGTCTGAGATGTATGACTTTCACTTGCATACACTACCATGCTGTCATGTACCTGAGTCTGAGATGTACGACTTTCACCTGCATACACTACCATGCTGCCGTGTACTTGAGTCTGTGGTGTACGACTTTCAACTTGCATACACTACCCATCCGCCGTGTACTTGAGTCTGTGATGTACGACTTTCAACTTGTATACACTACCATGCTGCCGTGTACTTGAGTCTGTGGTGTACGACTTTCAACTTGTATACACTACCATGCTGCCGTGTACTTGAGTCTGTGGTGTACGACTTTCAACTTGTATACACTACCATGCTGCCGTGTACTTGAGTCTGTGATGTACGACTTTCAACTTGTATACACTACCATGCTGCCGTGTACTTGAGTCTGTGGTGTACGACTTTCAACTTGTATACACTACCATGCTGCCGTGTACTTGAGTCTGTGGTGTACGACTTTCAACTTGAATACACTATTGTGCTGTATGATGCATCTCTCCAGGCAGTGTCCAGATCTCAGGACTGTAGAACCAACTTTATCCCTTGTTGATTCCTTAGAACCCTTGAATAATTTTAGAGATTCAAGTTTTTTATTACAGTATTAGAGGCCTCCAGCCCAAAGTAAGAGTTTTGTATCACAAACCTCTTCTCACAGCAGGTTTACATAAAAATGAATGAATACAAACAAATGCTACAAATACAATATTAATAGTGAACAAGAATGCAAGAGAACATTTCAAACAGCTTTAAGCAACTAGTGGAATATATTATATTTTATGAACGCTTTAGTCACTTTAACAGGGTATAACCTATCTAGCGCAGTATTACGGGTAGATAATGGATATTTGGTGTCTGTATGGCGCTGAATGTGTCACAGTTATCAGCATTTAAAATTCCCGCCTGCCCAACCGTCCAGAACGGTCTATTTTCATCTCAGACGGTATAAATTTCTAAAGTAGCCTGTCCGGTGGTCTGGTAGATGTTTTTACCCCTAACAGTAAATATTTCATAATATCAGACAGGTTCTCTTGTCGTCAGTTTGAGGTGTTTAAGGTTATATGATAATTATGTTAAACTATTTACGATTGGACAGTTCATTTTACAATAACCAATCACAACACATGTACTGTCAGTTTACCTAAACTCGGTGCATTGCCTGTTAGTGCTATGTTGTTCAATGGTAATGGTAATGGTTTTGCCAACGTTGCCAACGTTGGGCCAACGTCCGAATGCTATCTGGGAAGCAGTAAGGTATTCAGAAACCTGATTTTTGTTTTTGTTGAAAACCGGACAGGCAAGTTTGTATCCAGACTGGTAATTTTTTAAAGTTGCCAGTCCAACTGTCTGGCTTGGAATTTTAGGAGTTTTAAACCCAGCAGTTAAGTACCGACAGGGTATGAAACTGAAAAAAATTCAGCCAGACCATAGGGCTGGTTAGATGTAAAACTTGCCAGCCCTGACCAAAACTTACCTGCCCCCCAAAATACTAATTTTCTTAGTATTATTAAATTAAAGCTTGTAAAATATTGAACAAACTAATACCAAAGCAAGAAAAGAATTAGCTGTTTATTTCAGATTTGTGAGTGAATTAATAATGATTTATTATCCAGTAATATGATGAATATCTCCATATACATGTCTAAATTTTGACCCGACCGTCAGGCAGGTGAATTTGAGAATCTGGCCGTCCATGTTGAAAATAACCTGTCACGGACAGTCAGGCAGGCAGGTATTTCGAATGCTGGTATCGGTATATCATTCATAGTGAGATGCCCAATGATACTAAGGATCCGGTGTAAGAAATAAACATTGTATTTACCGAGCCTTTAACGAGACAAAGGGGAAAGTCAGTTGTACACATGGTGACAAAATGGAACAAGGTAACATTTTGGACATAATTTGGGCAGGACCAAAGATGTAGAGTTCTACAAGAACAGATATGGACACAGACCCAACTTGGCTTGGCTGGTGTCATCACTAATTTGTTCCACACTTTATATCTCCAAAGTTACCACTGCTTGGAAATAGTAGCCTGTGAAGGTCCAGATTAGAATTGGTCTTCAGCAACCTATGCTTGTCATAAGAGGCGACTAACAGGATCAGGTGGTCAGGCTCGCTGACTTGGTTGACACATGTCATCATATCCCAATTGCGTAAATTGATGCTCATGCTGTTTATCACTGTATTGTCTGGTCCAGAGTCGATTATTTACAGACCGCCGCCATATAGCTGTGTTTTGGATACTAATGGCTTTATGACAAGCATCAATATATTCTTACACCCAGTAGTACATTATCAACCTCAAGCCAATGTAAACCTCATTCCTGCATGTATATTTCAGAGCCATCAGTGCGGAGAAGACACAAATCCAAAGATAAAGATTTTGATGCAAAGAGTCTCCGTCATCTGTTACTGTCTCAACACACCAGCAGGATGGTAGGTATTGTCTGAGGTGTCTGATGTGTCACTTCTTTTTGGTGGATCTCTTTATTGTACGGTTGAGTGAGTGAGTAAGTGAGTTGGGTTGTATGGAGATCTTAGCAATATTCCATCAATTTCACAGCGGGGAATACCAGAAATGGGCTTCACACATTGTACCCATGTCCGGAATCAAACCCAAACCCCCGGTGTGACGAGCAAACACTGTAACCACTAGCCTACCCCACTGCCCTCAGTCGGGTTTTATGCCACTTTTAGCAGTAGCAGTATCGCAGCTGGGGACACCACAAATGGGCTTCACTCATTGTACCCATGAGGATATTAGTACCTGGGTCTGCAGCCACGTGGTTAGGGGTGGGTATTGCAGGGAATTGTCATATTGTGATATATTGCGATACGAAAGCATGTATTGCAATATATTGCAAGAAGTTTTTTTTAACAAAAAATTACTTTTAGTCGAGTTAATGCTTGATTTATAAAGCAAAAACACAACAAAATCACAATGCTTGATTAGGCTTTTATAAAAACTTTTAATCATGACAAAATAGAAATGTAAATAATGTTTGGCACAAATGAAACAAGGAAAGGAACAATTTAAAAACGGAAATATCCGAAGATTTCCGAGTGTTACGAAGTTTTCCGAATGCAAGTCAAAATACCGGTTTTTGATCAGTGTATCGCAATACGTATCGTTTTCATGTCTGAACCGCTAAATATCGGTAAACCGGTTATATTGCGCAGCGCTACACGTGGTATGCTAACACTTAAACCACTAAGCTACCCCACTCTCCTGAGTGAGTCAGTTGGCTTTTATGCCAATTTTAACAATATTCCATTAATATCACAGCGGGGAATACCAGAAATGGGCTTCACACATTGTACCCATGTCCGGAATCAAACCCAAACCCCCGGTGTGACGAGCAAACACTTTAACCACTAGGTCCAGACAGAATCATACCGTGTTGGCAAGATTGTAACACTAAATACCGAACAACCCTTCCCCTCATTCATATATTTCCGGAAAATCTTTGTATCCAAAAGGGGTTTGTCCGGTTCAGACGAAATCATTTGGGTGGGGGCAAGATTATGAATCTAAATAACCAATAAGTAACAAGTTTCAATGATATCGATGTTGATATTTCTTAGACAAATAGCAGTATTATGCATACCTGTCAACTCTCACGCTCTATCGACAAATGTCAAATGCGCAGCTCTCCGCCTCAAATAATAATCTCCGCATATCTGGTAGCCAAAAATAATTGCAAAATTAATATTTTAGTTGCATTTTCGAAGGTTGAACATTTTTAATGAGCGAAGTACTAAAAAGCGATGTTTATCGCGAATGATTCGACATTATTATTTATTAGCATGCATCTTTTAGTGTCAAAATAATGCCACCAGAAGGCTCCAAATGCTCCTGAAAATCACTAAACTTCATTTTTTAGGGTGGAACTTCACCCCAGTGACCCCCACCAGGGCGTAAGCCCTCAACATGACCCCAGCTGGACCCGGCTTATTTTTCAGTCTCACTCCAAACCATCTTTAGGGGTTGACAGCTCTGTATTATGTCGTGGAAAATATACAGCAACAATAAAACAATGATGACTGTATTTGCGAGTTCAGGAAACTTCTGAAGTCTGTATAATTTATGTCTCTTGTAGATGCTCCACAGCAACTACGACAAGAACTTGACTGAAGAACATAAGTCAAGCATAGCCAATCAGATCCAGAGAAAGACGGAAAGAAATCGGCCTTCAAACGACTGAAATCAACAACACCGTCATCACCGTCATCACCGACATCCCCAATAGCTGACAGACCAGTGTCATGGTCAGAGGTCAAGGGTCAGGCATGTGAAAAGCGGAAGGACAAAGACGAAAAGCCCAACACAGGGCTGTTACCATCGACCTCGGTAACACACAACGCATGGGCGTGATTGATCCTTATTTGCCGTCACCCAGAGATGACCCAAGTCTCGATGCTGTTTTTGAGGAGGATGAAAAAGATAGTATTGGTAAGGAGACTGAAAAGAAGCCATTATTCACTGAGCAGCTAGTGTGGGTGGAATAGGTTCCAAGTCCACACCCACTAGAGCGCGCTCCCAGGCGTTGAGAGACAATTGGCCATGGATGAAATTCCTTTGAAAGATTTACCTTCAAAAGGCGATCCCATGGTTTAAAACATACATTATGAAATCATGTAGTGATCAATATCAAAGTTAGATGGATCGAAATGTTTAATGAACTAAATATTTAAAATGGTGTGAAATATTTGCTGATGAAATCTTTTTAAAGATTTACCTTCAAAAGATGATCCGTTGGTTTTAGAGCGTACATTTAAGAATACATGTAATGATCATTCTCAAAGTTAGATGTGAATGAAATGCCTTTAATACATTGGATTTTTAAGATGTAATGCGGAATGTTTGCCGATTGTTGAAAATGTTATATATTTTTTTATGATTTATGGCCAAATCAAAGTTACACAATTTGTATCAAAGGATTATTCTACAGATTCAGAAAATATATCTGATTTAATGTTTAGAAGATTTGTAGGGAGAGATTGAGAGTTGATGTTATAACCACTTTGTCCATTTATACCACAACTTGTCAGATTAGTGCGGGACTAAATCTGAACTGATTAAGGTCTCGGAAATTGACCACTTTGGTGAAACCCTCAAGCATGGAGATGGTGCCTACAAACCGAAAAACATAATCAGGAAAGTAGGGATTTGAACACACAATCATAGGTTTTCAGGTGCCAAGGGAGGTAACTCTGAACAGCAAATTCCAGCCAGTATAGAGCAGGCCCATCCATACCACCTTTAGAGGAAATTAGAGACATTGGGTTAAGATCAAATTGTAGAACAGTTAAGAACGATGTGAAAATTTTAAAAATAATTTTGGTGTTATGTGTAGTGTCAACACTTCCGCTATTGTTACATAATTTGCCGATGAATAAGTTCAATGGATATCAATTAGTGTCATGGAAATTAGTGCTCATTTGTCAATTAATTTTATGAGATATATCTAGATTGTTGTTATATTCTGTAGGCGACAAAGAGATTTCACGTTTTCTGTCTTTTATTAAGTTCTCAAAAGTAGACATGGTCAGACTGAAATGCATCATTATAATAATGCGAGAAGAGTACAGACGCATTTTAGCATTAATAAAGTGCTTTCGCATTAATTTCATGATTTACAGTAGATCAATGCTCATGCTGTTGATCACTGGATTGTCTAGTCCAGACTATATTATTTACAGACTGCCGCCATATAGCTGGAATATTGCTGAGTGCAGCGTTAAACTACAAACAAAACATTGTTTACTGTGTCCTATAAATAACGGGTCACAATTGTAATCTACCTGTATATTTTTATACCCAAATATTAAATGGCCTTTTTGCAATTTTTGTTGAACATACTGTCCATGCTGCAAAGTGTGAGGTTCTTGTGTTAGTATACAAAGTGAGTTTAACCATCTGAATGTCGACCTATCATCAGTCATTGTATCAGATACTGGTCTACCTTGCCGTAAATGTCCACTGATGAAATCTTTCTCCATTTTTATGTTGACATCCTAGGACTACCGATCAAAAACCACTTTGAAAAATATTATTTGTGTTAAGATGTGATTATATTGTTGACAAATCAAAAATATACTATTATTATAATGTCGAATTATTTTCTACATATTTTCTACATATTTTTGTTTTGAAAATATAACCTGTTGAAATCCCTTTATCATCCCGTACTGGTCTCTACTGGAGACATAGCTTGAGTGACCACTCCACAATGCTTTGCTGACCGTCGTGTTGTCATTGGTTACCATCATTATAATATATTGTTCACGTGTTTCATGTTATGTTTTTAGACAGGTTGAAAGTTACGGAAGACAAGCCAGAAAGTGAGGAAAATACTCATATGTAGACACGAAGAAAGTTTGAAATCAATTATGTATGCATAGACAAGGTATGAACTTTGGCATGGAGCATTTAATCTTTTTTCTCTCTTCTTGGATGTGAGATTAAATGAGTCAATTTTGAAACAAGTCTTTCATATTTTGCCTGATATTGGTGTTTGGACAGTGAAAGTTAGAGTTTGTAAACTTTCATTTAAACGTCTTTTTAAATTCTTGGTGCTTGTGGTATACTCCTCCAACACCTATCCCCAGACCATCCCCACTCAAACTGCAGTATGTTCTAAACAATTGAAAAAGCAAAAGGGAAGCAATTTGGTACGGCTTTCGCATGCAAGGTTTGCATATGCTATAAAGGCTTTCACACATAAGAAATCTATCTGACTTATTGTGATAAAGTACAAATGTTTAGAAATGATTTTGCGGAGAACATGTTTCTTTTATAGGCTGTGTTGTATTTCAAATGAAGTGAGTAAAGCATAATATCAGAATATTCTTTCGCCTATGAAGTCTACTGATGTTATGCGGACAATGCACCAACAGCTGTTTAAGCCGACTCCGAGTACCTGCATCTCTAGTTGATGATGCTAGGGACGAGGAAACTGCTTCAGGCTGGTCTCATGAGTGAGTGAGTTTAGTTTTATGCCGCTTTTAGCAATGTTCCAGCAATATCATAGCTGGGGACACCAGAAATGGGCTTCACACATTGTACCCATGTGGGGAATCAAACCCGGGACTTTTGACGTGACCAGGCTACACCACCACCCCTGGCTGGTCTCATTAGAAAATGGTGCTAAAATGGCACCTCAGGTTAATTATCATGAAAAAATGTCTCAGTTCATGTTTGCTTGTTTTAACAGTAATGCTATTCAGAGATCAACCATTTCATTATCACATGGGCTTATTAAATTATCCTCTTTAGTGGAAATAAATTATTTGATTTTGGAAGTTGAGCTTGTTACAGTTCATCAAAGATTGATTACTGATGTCAACCCCAGACATCCCCAGACATCCCCAGATGTGTTGATGATGGGCTCCTTTTTAAATTATTTTTTTCCGGGGGGGGGAGGGGGGCTGTGTGTGTGTGGTTTTTTTTAGTCCCATCCGGGGATTCGAACCCACACCCTCAGAGTCAGGCACCTAATCGCCAGCACACAAAGTCAGACACCTAGACCGCTCAGCCACTGCGGCTTTACTAAGAAAGTGTAATCCCAAATATAACATGTTACATTTTCACCACTTTCTAGAATGGCATTGTGTATTTCAGGGCTCCTTTTTCTTTACGAAAACAGTTGTAACTCTCTGAAATAATGGTTAACATCTAAAGAGGATATCTCATCTGTGTTGCAGATACAACATTTCATTGGCCAACATTTTCTCCTTATGATTGGGGTAGCTTATTGGTTAGAGCATCTGCTTGTCACACTGAACACCCAGGTTCGATTCCAGACATGGGTACAATGTGTAAAGCCCATTTCTGATGTCTTCCGCCGTGATATTGCTGGAATTTTGCTAAAAGTGGTGTAAAACTCTACTCACTCACTCACTCTCCACATGTTTCATGTCATTGGTCAACTGTTGGACAGGTATTGTAACCTCAGGGGTGGAAATAAGTTTAAAATTGCTAGTGTACTCCGGTACAGTGGCGCATGTAAAATCACTTGCCCTGATAATTTTTGCACTGTACTGGCCGATTTCTTGTTGATTTTTTAAATAAACAACATAATTAACATTGGAAAGTCAACTGGACACTGGTACAGTGTGATATACAAAGCTTGCCCGACAGAAAAATACACTGGACTCGGACGTCGGGCAATGGGTTATTTCCACCCCTGTAACCTCTGACAGAAGTAATGGTCAGCTTGTTGTGTTTCAGAATGTAGAAATGTACCTGTTTTACCATATATTCCTGCATCTCAGAATGATTTCATCACTCTTTATTTATGATGTACACTGCTTACACAACCATGGATAACAGATTTAACTGCTACAAAACTATGAATACACAATGCCATTTAGAAAGATGTCATATGTTATGTTTAGGATTACCGTTTCTCAGTAAAGTACAATACGTTTGTTAATACTTTTGTTGAAGCCATCTGAATTTGTTAGCTGACGGTTTGGTGCCTGACTCGAAAGGTGTGGGTTCGAATTCCGGATTGGACTCAACCCAACAAAAGTACAAGAATCTGTAATTTACTGAGAAAGTGTAATCCCAAATATAACGTGTTACAAATGTTGCTACAAACTATTTTGTTAAATTAAGATTATTTTCAAATGAAGGGATGGGATTGTGTTCCTGTTTGCCTCACCTTTCATCCTGTCTCTAATTACATAGTGTGAAATCACTCCTGCAGATGTTACTTCATAGTTTGTTATCCTTTCCATGAAATACATCATGCTGATTTAAGTCGTATTTACCACAGTACTTCCAGGGATGGAAATAACTTTAAAATTGCTAGTGTACTCCGGTACAGTGTCACATGTAAAATCACTTGCCCTGATAATTTTTCCTCTATACCGGCCTTTTTCTTGTTGATTTTTTAAATAAACAACATAATTAACATTGGAAAGTCAACTGGACACTGGTACAGTGTGATATACAAATTTGCTTGCCCGACAGAAAAAAACACTGGACTCGGACGTCGGGCAATGGGTTATTTCCACCCCTGACTTCTCACAAGAAGTTGAGGACTCTCTGATTCTTAGATGCTTGATTGGCATTTTAGAAGATGCTATTTGATGAACATAGAGATTTTTCTGGGTTACATCTTTATTTTATTCTTATTTATTCAAGAATAAAAAGAAGATGTAACCCAGCAAAATCTCTTTGTTCATCTCTGATTTTTCCTTATTTACAAATTTGTCATGGCACGACATTAACTATACTTATGTGAGAGAATCAGGTGGTGCTAAACTTCTGTTGATTAGCATCAATAATTTATGGCTGGGGGAGGTGATGATGATTTGAAGGGGGGTAACCGATTTTGTTGAGGGGGCATCAATTTGTAAACATGCATTGGGGGTCAGCAATTTTGCATGTGAGGGTATTTAAAAAATTAAGCTTTCAAATCATGGGAAGGGGGTCATTAATTTTGTACATGACATCCATATAAACCATCATCAAACCCACCCACCCACCCCATTAATTATGAAGCGGTCCCTAACTCACATGGAGTATGTTGTTAGTGTTCGAATAAATCAGACTCCTACCAAGTTGTATCATTATATCAAATGTTTGTTGATATCATTTTCATTCCATTATCGTGCGTGTAGAGGTGCTAAGTCAGAAACAACAAATTAGTCATTAAGTCTTGTCTCTTTCCTTCTCCATTATATATTCAAAGTTGGTCAGGCACTGGTACCAGCCTAACCAAGAATATTTTCATATATTTTGTCCTTCTTCGCTTTTGTTATCAACTTTTATCATGTACGTTTGCAGTTGTATTTTATTCATGGACCAGAGATTTCAGTTAAACTGGAAATACAAATTATTTTCAAAGCATGTGACAGTGTTCACGAATGATGTTTCAAAGTAACAGGACTTTCGGTCCTGTAAGTTTCAGGTGTCTGTCTGACCCATTGAAAATTCACAGGACCCCTAGAATAAAATTAAACACACATTTTAGATTTAATATTTCTTATATTGGCATTGAAATTATTAACAAACGTAAGATTTATAAACAGCAAACAAGTGTCACATGTCACATATAACAACTTCAGTCAAAGTCTATTGTGAAATATACAGTCAGAAACTGGGGCCGTAGGGTTGTAGATTTCTATCCGACTGTTGGCGAATCTGGCGATTTGTCAGAGGGTCAGAGGCTATTAAGTGAACACTGATGTGATATATCTTCAAAATTTCAAAGTCAACACCACTGATTTTTTTACTTGACAAAGGGTAACTAAATCATATTTTACTACCTGCCCGACAACTACTATTAATTATACACCCCTGTGTTTTGACAGCAATCCTGATTTTGTA